TCCGATCTGGTTCACCGTGTGGCTGAACAAACAGCTGGACGGGGACAAAAGAGGGGACTGTATGGGCTGGGAAAGAAACTATCCTGCTGCATCTTCTACAGAATATGCCAGCTTCCTTTCGCCAGAGCAAGGCAAAGGCTGAATCCTCTAGTTATCTGGTCAGGCATGTTTGAATTAGTTAAGACTTTGCAGAAAAACTGTGTGCAAAGCGACTCCTGTGCATCTTTTTGATTTTCTGCTTCAAACCAAGACTTTCAAACCCTTCCCTCTGATCATCCTGTTCTTTTAAGAAAGATTTCAAATTAATCTTCAAACGGCATTATTAATTAAACTAAACAAACTGGAGGCTCACAGCGCGCCTCCAAGACACGGCTGGCGACTAAAAAACTAGTATGGCCCGAAGTCCAGCATTTTATCCACATGTTGCACATCGTGAGGCAGGAGTAAGCTCTCTTGGCAGCATCGCTTTTGCCAGCAAGGCTTTGATAAGTTCCAGGAAACAATTTCGATCCATGAGGCTAGGAAAGGGTGTGAGAAGCAACAGCCTGGGAGACTCAAATACTCATTTTAGCCCACTTTAACCAGCAAAAATGCTTTACACCTTTCCTAGAGCACCTCAAGACTCCTGTAGTAAATGCAGTCCTTTAAGCTCACATTTCCCTGTAAATTCCAGCCCCAGAGAACACAGGGTACGGAAATACCCAGCAACGCCTGCTCCACCCCGTCATGAAATGCACTTGAAAAAACACCCATTTTCCTGGCCTTATGTTTCCAGGATTTGGTATCTGTTAAACCCTGCTGCAACACAGCTTATTGAGCAGGTTGTCTTATTTAATGCACCACAGAATGCTATTTGGGAAAGTTTTCTGTTATTTGCGAAAGCTGCTGGGGATTTCAGGACAGAAAGGTGACTGGAGTTTCTGTCTTGTATAGAAAAAGTTGCTCATTATACTTTGCTGAAAAATTAGTTTCTGAGAGCCTTTCTTAATAGCAGAAAGATATCTGCAAACTGTCAAATTTAACTACGTTCATCTGCAAAACATCAAAATTAACTACATTCTGAATTTTCAGCGAGGTCAAACGTTAAAGCAACCCTGCTCATCTGATCAGATTAGCCAGAAAATGAGACTTAATTCCATCAAAACCAGAGCAGAAGGGACCTCAGCATGAAATCTTAGATTCATCTTTCATTTATGCTGAAGAAGAGTTCACATAACATACTGCTTCTAAACACAATCTAGGAATACGTATTATGGAAAAACATGGGCTCTCAACTCATTTGTTCAGTTTGAATATGCCAGCTAGTTGGCACGCGCACTCTCCACTGCCTGAGCGCGATGAGAGACGCTGGCACGGGGGTCACAGGGCAGAAGCGTTGCAAGGCTTGAGAAAGATCAACGACTGTCCGCTAGCAAAACTCATGCCGCCCATTCAGGTCAGAGACGTCTGGAGAGGACAAGGGGGACAGAGAGGGAGTCAGCTGCAGACCAGACCTAGTGGGGTCTAGTGGGCCACATCCAACCCACAATCCATAGACTGGACAGCCCTGCTTTTTGCTCTATCATCCAGCTCTTCTAAACACAAACTGAACATTCATACTGTACAAAGGACTACTCCCGTCATTTGTTTCAAGCTCACTTCACATTAGGCTTCATCTACAGGAACACACCAGCAGCCCTGCAGGGTAAGATCAGGGAAGATTAAGGTGCTTTAAAACCGAAACTCCAGCCCCCAGAATTTACAAACTGCTGAAGAAAGCTGAAGAATATAAGGTGCATTGACTCGATGGCCAGAAAACAGATTAATAGGTGCCTAGGGCAGCTGGCAGTTCCAAGGAAAATGCCCAGCCTTTTGTAGGATAGTGCACAGGTCAGATCAGCTTTCCTTCCCAGAACAGGAGTAAGTGTTCCACAGCTATTTGCTGTTAGCCTGAGAGAAGACAAGTGATTTTGAAAAAATCACTTGTGTTGTTTGTTTCTACTTAAGGGAAGCTCCTCAAAAGCGATTCTGCTTACTAAATCAGAAAGTGCAACCACAATCACAAACTGAATGGCTTCAGAGCATGCTGTTCAGCACAGACCCTATTCAGACAAATTACAATTGCTACCTTCACTTAAAAAAAAAAGAAGGTTTCCTGTTCTGTCTGAAGTGCAATACAAAGGTGTCAGCCCCGCAGGTCGCCCTATGCCAGCGTAACACCCACATGTAAAAGGATATCAGCTGAACTCCTTTCAGTGCCCTGAGGAATTCTGACAGTTCCTTTGACCCCAAAATGACTCCCGGTACCTTATGAGCCTTCCTGGGAACACGGCTCTGCAAGTCTGCGACTTTCAAATGTGCCTCTTCTAACTTTTCACCCTTTCTTTGGCCAAAAAAAAAAAAAAAAAAACAAAAAACAAAAAAACAGTACACACTTTTGCAAAGGGACTCGTCTGCTTCTCCGCACAGTTGCACATCCTGCGTTTCTGCTGCCGACAGGGCTACGATACCTTGGGATTTCTCCTCCCATAGGAGGAGATCAGTCCTCGATGCATTAAAATAAAAACTCAAAACTCAACACATGCCACAGCCACAAGCTCTACCACTGCAGTCGGGTCTGAAGACTTAAGCTGAAGCTTCTGGAAGGAGGAGGACACCTGGGTCGACCTGGCAGAGCTGAGCCTTGCAGGCTTCCCACATGCTGCATGTTTCAGAACGTGTTCGCTGCAGTGAATCTCATCCAAGAATTAAAGGTTTACAGCAAGCTAACGTACAGCAAATCAACACTTGATTTGGAGAGTGGGGAAAGGAGGCAAAGGGATTTTACGTGCAAGAATTTCTGACCAGAATGCTTAAAATTCCCCTGGTTTGGGATGTTTAACTTGTAAACGTGAGCAGAGCTTTCAATTTGGGCCTCAAATTG